CCGAATAAGTATATTCCTCTAGGTTTATACGTTTATTATTAGTTATGAAGTGGTTAGGTATGTATAATGGTTCAGTATAAAGAGTTTTGAGCTTACGCAACTAAAGCTGCAAGCACTTTATATCAAATAAAAGATAATAAAATCATGCTTTTTTGCAGCAGCCGTGTATATTAATAATACGTACGTCACAATTATCCAAAGAAAATTGCTACTGTATTATATGCTATGGATACTTTATTATGGTATGCGTGTATTAACATATTTAAGTGAATATCAAAACCAGGAAACACTACTAAGATATTTCGATAAACTTTGTATTACCTTAAACTGATGCACTGTGGTAGGTTTACGACCACAAAATCACACGTTAGTGCCGGGAATGGAATTTTAATCGTTAACCTTTTTGCACCTAAAAATAAAAAAGAAGCTAAGTTGGGTGTGGGGGTGTTAGATGTAAATACTGTTTTACTCTGTTATCATCAAAAATAAATTATGTGATTTCAGTCGCAAAATATCCTAGAGGTTAAGGTTTTGATCTCGAGTCGGAAATGTGGGTTCGAACCTTTCTGTGGTCACGGTGATGTTTCGATACTGTTTAGTCCCTGGGATCATTCAAAAAGCTGTGTTTAAACAGTAGAACACATTCACACGGGACATGAAGCTCTCAAAATAGAGAGAATCTGATTCGGAACCACAATCCTTTGCGCTCTTCGGCTATTATTATCGTTTTTTCCCGCTAGTCTCCGAAACACAGACCCGAGCTTAGAATAAGCTCTAAACAATTTATCACACTCAAATAAATTTCATGCAGGCTAAAATTGAAATTTAACTCTTCTTCCTTTTCTACTTTCCATCTTAAACTGTTGGAATGTTTTTATGATTTTGTATTGCTTTGTATATTGAACAGTTCATTCAAAGGTTAAGCGGCTTTTTTTTTAATTTGACCATGGACTTCTTTTTTTTTTTCTTTTCTTTTTTGAGCTCTGAGGTCAAAAAGCCTAAAAACGAAAAAATGAAATAATTATATAAGTATCGTGCAGCATATGAAATGGAAAAAAAGACATTACCAAGAATAATAAAGGAATATGCTTAGAATTAAATGAACATTAATTTTCCGTGCGCTTCTTAGCCAAAAGTGAGTGGGAAGTGTTGGGACGATTTCATTTTATGTCTTTATGTATAATAAGAACGATTTTTTTTGTGAAAATAAGATGGGTCAAAGAAATGATCTGAATCTGCACACAAGTTATTGGCCCAGAACTTCATTAAATAGTACACAAATCTCGAAAAAAAATATTCCCAGTTCCGTCATGTAAATAAACCACAGTGGAGTCCCTTTAAAGAAAACATTTAATTAATTATGTATATAAAATATTCCCCGATGTTTCATTCTTTTATGCTAGAAACAAGATTTAGAATGTTCATTGTTATTTTTCAATAAGTTTGCAATATTCTACTTTACAAAGGACGATTGACCTCCCAATTTCAGTTATATATTAAAAGGTATGCTGTGTAACTAAATACATAGTGTATATGATTTTAAAAGATATCCACATTAACAAGTATTTAAATTTTACACTCCGCTAAGTTTGTCTCAATTACTTTTCCGGTTGTTATAAGGGTTGAAAAATACTAATATTAAATGGCAAATAATCTGGCTTAATGATCACAACGAACGATTGTGTGGGTTGGTCTGGTACTAATCCTTCGATGTAAGTTAGTTCATACCGGTAGAATTATTACGCCATTTGCCACAAATAGCTCCGCCCCCGCATGTGTCTCATTAAAGGTTCTATGGTGACAATGGAATCTGTAGAAGACTGTACACATCTGCGTCCGCCCGCACATGTCGGTTTAATTAAGGTTTAAGGTTTTATTGTGACTATTGAATCTGCCGACTGTACACATCTGCGTTTGAACAGATAGCCCCGCCCGCACGTGTCGCATTAAAGGTTTTATGGTGACTATGGAATCTGCCGACTGTACACATCTGCGTCGGAACATAAAGCCATCCGCCCGCACGTGTAGCATAAAGGTTTTATGATCACTATGGAAAATCTGCCCGACTGTACACGTCTGCGTCTGAACAGATAGCCCCGCCCCGCACTTGTGCATTTTAAAGGTTTTATGGTGACTATTGAATCTGCCGACTGTACACGTCTGCGTCTGAACAGATAGCCCCGCCCCGCACTTGTGCATTAAAGGTTTTATGGTGACTATTGAATCTGCCGACTGTACACATCTGCGTCAGAATAGATAGCTCCGCCCGCACGTGTCGCATTAAAGGTTTTATGATGACTATGGAATCTGCCGACTGTACACATCTGCGTCGGAATAGATAGCTCCGCCCGCACGTTTCGCAATAAAGGTTTTATGATGACTATGGAATCTGCCGACTGTACACATCTGCGTCGGAATAGATAGCTCCGCCCGCACGTTTCGCATTAAAGGTTTTATGATGACTATTGAATCTGGCGACTAAACACATCTTCGTCGGAATAGATAGCCCCGCCCCGCACGTCTTGCATTAAAGGTTCTATGATGACTATAGAATCTGCCGACTGTACACATCTGCGTCGGAATAGATAGCTCCGCCCGCACGTGTCGAATTAAAGGTTTTATGATGACTATGGAATCTGACGACTAAACACATCTGCGTCGGAATAGATAGCCACGCCCCGCACGTCTTGCATTAAAGGTTCTATGATGACTATAGAATCTGCCGACTGTACACATCTGCGTCGGAATAGATAGCTCCGCCCGCACGTGTCGAATTAAAGGTTTTTATGATGACTATGGAATCTGACGACTAAACACATATGTGCGTCGGAATAGATAGCCCCGCCCCGCACGTCTTGCATTAAAGGTTCTATGATGACTATAGAATCTGCCGACTAAACACATCTGCGTCGGAATAGATAGCTCCGCCCGCACGTCTTGCATTAAAGGTTCTATGATGACTATAGAATCTGCCGACTGTACACATCTGCGTCGGAATAGATAGCTCCGCCCGCACTTGGCGCATTAAAGGTTTTATGATGAGTATTGAATATGCCGACTGTAAACATCTGCGTCGGAATAGATAGCCCCGCCCGCACGTGTCGCATTAAAGGTTCTGTGATGACTATTGAATCTGCCGACTGTACACATTTGCGGAAGTTAACACAATTTTAATAGTTCCTTTTTTCTACTACCATATTGAATTCATCTCATGTTGGTGCTAAGGAAAATTGGGGTGCGGACGAGCATTTGTAAAAAGAAAATCATATTTTCAGATCGAAAATTGCACGATTGCAAAATTGAATGAGTACAATGTGCTAAACATTATCCATTTAAAAATGTATTTTGCATCTAAGACTGGATATAACTGCGTGATGAAACTCCTGCTTAGGATTTTATCACCCCTGTGCCTTTTATGAATGAATAGGTATAATTGATTCCAGCGCTTTTAAGTGTTGAAAATTTGTACAGATAAAGCCGGTGCTAGCAGGCGTGAGAGGGCGTGGACACTTAACATTATCCCTCGCGTACAGGCTCAGTCAAACCGAGTCTGCAATTTTCATGCAATTTTGTGATTTTAATGCTTGATATGTATACATCATCACAGCAGGTGTCCAGTGCCGTGTGGCAGTCGTTATAAGCAATCGCAACTACTCGGCCCTTTCCGTTAGTCTTCGGATTAGGACCTCGAACACAATAGTATGAATACGCAGAACGGGCATTTTCGGTCTAACCTACGCTAAGAAACTAAAAACATGTAAACAAATAGTAATTTAATGCTTGGAGTTGTTGACAAGTTTTATACCCAATAAATGTAGTAACAGTCCACCTAAAATAAGTGAATTCATAGGTACAATAGCAAACAATACATTATTTTATATATTTATTATATGGTTGTAGAAACCAAAAAGTACAAAAAAAAACAACCTGTTGATATTTAGTCGGATTTGTTTAAAATTGAAACATCAGTAGGCATTACTAAATTTGCAAATTGTTGTCAGACATATTTTCAAGCATAAGAGTACCGGACACACATTAGATTGTCAAATATATTACATTCGTTTTACATTATCTCTGTTTCTGTTTACATCTGAAACCACGTGGTAGAACTACTTTCAATCCGTGTTGTTTCCGAGGTTATTATAGATAATAGCCGAGGCAGTTCCGAATGTCGTTATAAGTTGCCTTGTGCTACACTTCAGGGTTTGCCTCGTACTAAACTTCAGGGTTTGCCTCGTACTACACTTCAGGGTTTGCTTGCTTTCTTTTTTTTTTGGGGGGGGGGGGGGTTTTTTTTTTGTTTGTTTTGATTTTTTGTTGTTGTTTTTTCCATTTGTTGTTGTTGTTGTTGTTGTTCTTGTTTTTTTCTGGTGGGGATTCTGGACTTTTCGTTTTTGTGTGCAAGGGATAACTGACTTCGGGTGGTTTATTGCCTACCCAGGGGAGCGTCGTTAGCTGCATTAATAGTTCCCCCACAAGGTCCCTTATATAAGTCTTATGCATTTTTTAAAAGGTTGGTCATGGCAAATTTGCCATGGCAAAATTACGAAAAAATTTGCCATGTCCGCAATATGAAGGTATTTTGCCAAGTCAAATTACAAATTCGCCAAGACAAAGTCAAATTTCTCATGGCAAATGCAAGTTTGGCATGCATTTTTACACACAAAAAACTAGCAAAGATAGAAGAATGAAGCGAACTTATGAGTAAATATTACTAAATCGGAATGAAATACATTTCAATGATTTATCATTTCTTCGAAGAATATACTTCCGTACGCATCCATTATGACAGATATATTATGTTAGCAGTCAACAAAGATGTCTAATTTTATAGTGATGATTATGACACGGATGGGGATGAATCATATGTATAATGATGGTGGTGATGATGATGATGATGATCACTTTACAAAACTTATCATGACTAATCTGTGCCTAATGATAAAAGGTATGATAAAAAAAGATCACGAAAACACATATGTAACTGGTTCGACGATATT